TGCAGTTATCTTTTGAAGGCAAGATAAACCAAGAACACCAAGAGCATCTGTCCTTTGTTTGAAATATGAATTATGAGCTTCCACTGCATTTGCGATCCGAAGAAAAAGACGACGACTCATCCTAAATCTTCTTCGAAATTGACTTTCAGTGAATTTAGGATTTTCTGTAAAATAATCATTATATAACCTTAACTCACCTTCCTTTCTATTACGATTGACAATATTGTGACCAGAAATAGAGCCATGATACCCTGTTCTCCGTCCTTGATTATTCGATTCTTCTTCAGCAACTACAGCAGTAGCAACTTGAAAAACCAACACAATAGTGTCATCATCAAAATCAAAAACATCATAAAAATTAAAATTAGAATGATTCATGATGAATTTTAATGAAATATAACAAAGATTGGAGAGAAGAAAATGATGAGAAAAAAATGTTAAGATATATGAGAATATTTATAGATGGACTATTTTTTCGAATTGTAAACTCTCAGAATGTTGGTGGTAATTTTTTTAAAATTTGAAATTTTAAAATTTAAAATATTAGCGGTTACTTTTTCAAAATTTAAAATTTGAAAATTTAATGTTAGCAGTGATTTTTTCAAAGTTTGAATTTGAATTTACTTTTTAAAAATTAAATTTTTAACAATAACATATAAAACTTAAAATCAAAAATATTCATATAAATAAATTTTAAATTTAATTTTAAATTATATTTTTTAACTTTCATATTACTTCATTAATTTTATATTACTTTTATAAATTATTTATATTAATTATATAATTAATAAGATCATAATTATATTATATATAAAATATCTAAATTAGTTATATAATTATATTAAAATTAATTTAACATGAAATATATTAAAATATAAATGGCTTTTCTAAATAGCTTTTTACCATTGGAATGTACATAATTCAAAAGGCTATATTTATACTATTTAAAAAGCCATTTTTTTTTATTTGGCTCTTCGCATTTCTCATTGGAGATGCTCTTATATATGTTGTCTACATTCACAAGTTTTTTTGTTATGTTTTTTTAGTTATGCTTTGTCTGACCGTATATGTTATATTTATGTTGTGAATATCCTTTTTTTACTGTGAGTTCTTTTTATTTCCAACAATTAGTATCAGAACAAGCTATAGAATTCATTTGTGAGTGATAAGAAACTATAGTTTCTTAAGGAGAGTGTAGAGAGATTTTAAACACGGAGAGAGTTATCAAATGGTAGCTGAAAATTCTTTTGTTCAATATGCAATTCCAAAGTTCGATGGTTATTATGATCATTGGTCCATGCTTATGGAAAATTTTCTTCATTCAAAATAATACTAGAGTTTGGTGGAGAATGGTGTTTCTATTGCAACAGAAAAAGTTGAGCTTACTGAAGCACAACGACAATTCATTACAGACCAAAAGCTGAAAGACTTGAAAGTTAAAAATTACTTGTTTCAAGCTATCAATCGGACTATTATTGAAATAATTTTTAATAGAGATACAACCAAACACATATGGGACTCCATAAAGCAAAAGTACCAGGGATCTATAGGAGTTAAACGAGCACAGCTTCAAGCTCTTTAAAAAGAGTTTGAAATTTTACAGATGAAAAAAGGGGAGAGTGTTGATGTATATTTTGCTTGAACACTCTTCATAGCTAACAAGATGAAGATTCATGGTGAAAATATACAATAAGTCGTGATCATTGAAAAGATATTGAGATCAATGACTACAAGGTTCGATTATGTGGTGTGTCGATTGAAGAATCTAATAACTTAGACATTTTAACCATTGATGAATTACAGAGCAGTTTACTTGTCCATGAGTAAAGGATGAATGGGCACTAAAAAGATGAGTAGGCATTGAAAGTGACACATAATAATAGATTTGGTGGAAGAAGAGGCAATCAAGGACATGGAGCATTTCGGGAAACAAGTAGAGGAAGAATCGACCCAGCATTTAACAAAGCCTTAATAGAGTGTTATAAATGTCATCTATTAGCACATTTTCAATATGAGTGTCTCAAATGGGAGAAGGAAGCAAATTATGTTGAGCTTGTGAAGAAAAAAGAGTTGATGTTAATGTCATATATGGAGTATAATCAATCAGGACGAAAAGATGTCTAGTTTCTTGACTCAAGGTGTAGCAATCATATATATGCACATAAGTAGTGGTTCTCTGATCTTAATGAATAATTTTAACAATCTTCAAAACTAGGAAATGATTTTAAAATGGTTGTACTCGAAAAAGGTACCATACGTTTGCAGCTTACTGGAACTACTCAGGTAATCACAGATGTTTTCTATATACCTGAGTTAAGAAATAATTTGTTAAGCATTAGACAAATGCAAGAACGCGTAGTTATTTTAATCAAACATGGAGTTTGTAAACTCTATCATCCAAAGAGAGGGCTCATTGTGCAAACAACAATGTCTGCAAACAGGATGTTTATATTGTATGCAATAGTTGAACTGAAAACTACCAATTGTTTTCAAACAATCATTAAAGACAATACTCACCTTTAGCACTGTAGAAATGGACACCTAAGCTATAAGGGTCTAAGAATATTGTAATATAAACAAATAATCAGAGGGTTACCACAATTGAAAGATTCATCCAAAATCTGCATCGATTGCATTATTGGCAAGCAACATAAGGAGGAAATTCCAAAAAAACGTTTATAAAGAGCATCTCAAAGGCTGTAACTGTTTCATACTAATATTTGCAGTCCCATCAAACCTATTTCCAATAGTAAGAAGAGGAATTTCATAAGTTTTATTGATGATTATAGCTATTAAGTGTGGATATACTTCCTTGCAAAAAAATCTCAAGCGTTCATTGTTTTTAAGAATTATAAAAACATGGTTGAGAAAGAATTAGGAACCTTCATATGTTATCTGTGCACAGATAGAGGTGAGGAGTTTACTTCTTTTGAGTTCAATAGTTTTTGCAAGGATCATGGTATTAGTAGACAACTCATTGCAGCCTATGCTCCCCAATAAAATGGAGTGGCTGAATGCAAGAATAGGACCATCATGAACATGGTCATAAGCATGTTATCGGAGAAATAAGTTCCAAAAAAATTCTAGCCCAAAGCTATAAACTGGATAACATATATGCTTAATAGAAGTTTTACTTTGGCAGTGAAAGAGATAACTCCTGAAGAGGCTTGGAGTAGTGTTAAACCAAATTTGATTATTTTTGAGTCTTTGGATGCATCAGACATGTTTATATGTTGGATAATTTGAGAAAGAAGCTGGATAATAAGAGCTTCCAGTGTGTGCTGCTAGGGATGAGTGAAAAGTCTAAAGCATATATATTATATAATCTAATATTTAGGAAAATAGTAACAAGCAGAGATGTGGTCTTTGATGAAAATGAGTGTTGGAATTGGCAAGGGAATAATGAAGTACCAGCATCTGATATTCTTGAGTAGGGAGATATCTATGAAGAAGGAAGTGAACGTGATCAAAATGAAGCCAAAGAAGAAGCTGAAGCTGATCAAAATGAAGAAGAAGAAGAAGAAGAAGAGGCAAAAGTTGGCTTACCTTTATGTAATACAGAAGCCAGCTTATCTTCATGCAATTCCTCTAGAGAAAATTCACGTTCACTTTCAACACATTCATTAGAAGCTAAAATAACAAGGTCACTAAAAGAAAGGGACAGATCATTTGTAGACAGATTACCAATAAGGAGGAGCACAAAAGGTACACTAGAAAACTTGCACAGTTCTTCAACAGAAAGTTCACCAGCAAGAAGAAGCAGAAGAGTGCCATTCTAGATCGAAGATTATGTGAGCAGGGGAGAATTTTCAGAAAAAGAAGCTGAGCAAAAATTGTTTTTATTTACTTCACCCACTAATCCAGTCACTTTTACAGAAGTTGTATAGTGTTCCAAATAGAGAATTGCAATGAATATGGAAATAGATATAATTGAAAGAAATGAAACTTGGGAGTTGATAAATTTGCCTAAAGGAATGAAGAAAATTGGAGTAAAATGGGTCTTCAAAACTAAACTCAATGAAAATGGCGAGGTTGACAAGTGTAAAGCTAGGTTGGTGGTGAAAAGGTATGCATAGCAATATGGCATTGATTATACTGAAGTATTTGCACCTGTGATTAGATGGGATACAATTCAAATGGTGATTCCTTTAGTAGCTCAACATAGTTGGAATGTGTATCAGCTTGATGTCAAAAATGCTTTTCTATATGGCGAGTTAAATGAAGTAGTGTTTGTCGAGCAACCATGAGGTTATGAGAAGAAAGGTGAAGAGCACAAGGTGTACAGATTAGAAAAAGGCATTATATGGCTTTAAACAAGCCCCTCGTGCATGGTATAGCCGAATCGAAACATATTTTGTCAAAAAAGGATTTGAGCAGTGTACCTGTGAACACACCCTATTCATAAAAATAGAAAATAGAGGTACAATTTTGATCATTAGTGATTAATACTTAAAAATGCATTTTCATCAAGGTTTTATATCATCATTTTGCACTTGAAGTATCAATAACTCCTTAACTAAAGCATGTTCTATAATAATATATCTAATAATATAAGATACTCTTAATTTGTGGTAAATG